CAGAAAACAACAAGTTCAGCCCGAAACTCCGGACTTGATCCTGGTCAGTTAAACCGCTGGGTGCCTCTTTGCTTCCAGGTTTCCGTAGTTGTAAAACACAGTAAAATGTCCATAGATTCCGCTCTGCTCCGCCGTTTTATTAAACTTCTAACTGAAAGCGGACTATTTCCTGCGGAGTGATACAAACAAGCCGCGCAGAGACGAATCGAAAGTTAAGGAAACAGAAAGTTTCTCTGCACATCAGCTGTTTTATTACACAGGAGGGAAACAAGTCGGAGTTTATGTAAACATGAGGGCCAGAAATGAAACTGCAGCACGCGCGCACACACACACACACACAAATATATATATATATATATATAAAGTATATTTATGTAAAAGAAGGTGTGTTATTGATCCTGAACATCAGAGCAAATTGAACAGTCGTATAAAAACAGCTGTTTCAGCCTCTGAAGAACAAAGGATGGAGAGATCCTCCTTAAATTCAGAAGGTAAAGAGATAAAGGGTCACAGTAGGACCTCAGCGTGATCCAGCAGAAAGTCATTCCTCTCATGAATATATTTTCTTCAGTCTGTTAAACACAAACATCCAGGTGATGACATCATGACCTTTTGTTACCGGAACAGCTGACTGTGTGTGAGGCTTCCTGATTTACAGAGAAATGAAAGTGAACTAACGTCAGTGATGTGATGAGAGGACAACTAAAGTCATTTAATGTTGAGGATCTGCTGAGTCCCGGTCCAGTACTTGTGTTTAATGTGATAATCCAGTTGCACACTGACATGAAGTGTGAGAGCTAGCTGAGTGACATCACTGTACTCTGCTGTTTTGAGGTGCTTTATTAAATTATCAAAATGAAGCTGAAGTAACTCCATCATGATGCTGATTTGTGTAACATCTGACTTCATGCTTCGTCAGGTCTGTCAGCGAGATGAAAACAAACATCTTTTAAAATGCCTGTTTTCTAAATGGAGTTGGGATCGATCAGGACAAAGCTGTGCTGACTTGTTTCATAGCTGCTGTTGTGTCCGCTTCCTGTGTAAATATGAAGTAGTGTCACGGAGCAGCTCGTGTCTGATCTCGTTGACGTTGCTGTCGTTTGTCGCAGGAAGTCGTGTAAATTCTCCCACGACATTTACTCTGATCACAACTACGGATTACTGAGAGAGTGCACGCTGCACGAGCTCAACGAAGACCAGCTGTTCCTGCTGCTGCTGCAGAACGACCCTGCTCTCCTGCCAGAGGTAACACACCTGGCCCACCTGACACACACCTGGACCGCCTGACACACCCCTGACACACACCTGGCCCACCTGACTGACACACACCTGATGCTCACCTGACGCTCACCTGACACATACCTGACACTCACCTGGCCCACCTGACACTCAACTGGCCCACCTGACACTCACCTGACGCTCACCTGACGCTCACCTGACACACACCTGGCCCACCTGACTGACACACACCTGATGCTCACCTGATGCTCACCTGACGCTCACCTGATGCTCACCTGACGCTCACCTGACGCTCACCTGACACTCACCTGGCCCACCTGACACTCACCTGACACTCACCTGACACTCACCTGACACTCACCTGGCCCACCTGACGCTCACCTGACGCTCACCTGACGCTCACCTGACGCTCACCTGGCCCACCTGACGCTCACCTGGCCCACCTGACTGACACACACCTGATGCTCACCTGACGCTCACCTGACGCTCACCTGACACATACCTGACACTCACCTGGCCCACCTGACGCTCACCTGACACTCACCTGACGCTCACCTGACGCTCACCTGGCCCACCTGACACTCACCTGGCCCACCTGACACTCACCTGACGCTCACCTGACGCTCACCTGACGCCCACCTGACACTCACCTGGCCCACCTGACACTCACCTGACACTCACCTGACACTCACCTGGCCCACCTGACACTCACCTGACACTCACCTGGCCCACCTGACACTCACCTGACACTCACCTGACGCTCACCTGACGCTCACCTGGCCCACCTGACGCTCACCTGACGCTCACCTGGCCCACCTGACGCTCACCTGACGCTCACCTGACGCTCGCCTGACGCTCACCTGACGCTCGCCTGACGCTCGCCTGACTCTCACCTGGCCCACCTGACACTCACCTGGCCCACCTGACGCTCACCTGACGCTCACCTGACGCTCACCTGGCCCACCTGACGCTCACCTGGCCCACCTGACGCTCACCTGACACTCACCTGACGCTCACCTGACGCTCACCTGACGCCCACCTGACGCTCACCTGACGCTCACCTGACGCTCACCTGACGCTCACCTGACACTCACCTGGCCCACCTGACGCTCACCTGACGCTCACCTGACGCTCACCTGACGCTCACCTGACGCTCACCTGGCCCACCTGACGCTCACCTGGCCCACCTGACACTCACCTGACGCTCACCTGACGCTCACCTGACGCTCACCTGGCCCACCTGACGCTCACCTGACGCTCACCTGGCCCACCTGACGCTCACCTGGCCCACCTGACGCTCACCTGACACTCACCTGACACTCACCTGACACTCACCTGACGCTCACCTGACACTCACCTGACGCTCACCTGACGCTCACCTGACACTCACCTGGCCCACCTTACACTCACCTGGCCCACCTGACGCTCACCTGACACTCACCTGACGCTCACCTGACGCTCACCTGACACACATTGCCTAAACCTAACCCGCCTGTCCCACTGATTACAGGTGGCCGTGAGAAACAAACACACAGAGAGGTAGTTTGAGCTGCGTCTCCACCAGAGGGCGCTGCAGGTGTTTCTACACTGTAAAATGTCCAAAACAGCTTCTTCTTCTTTATTTAAACTGCAGCTTGTTTCTTCTCTTCCTCTCATTTCACTCGTTTCCTCCTCCTCCGGAGATGGAGGAGCCAGATTAGCTTCTGTCCTGGTTTCTGAGGACGGGAACACAGAGGAGGATCCTGCAATCTGATTGGATAAAACAAATGTCAGAACAGGCTTCAGCTGTTAACGCAGTGAGAATGAAAAGGTGAAGAAGAGAGAAGAAGAAGAAGAAGAAGAGAACCCTGAAGAGGCTGAGTTTTAAACAAAGTTAAAGAAAAAAGACCAAAAACAAAAAATAAAAAGTGTAAAAGTTTCCAGGTGACTGAGGGAAATTTCTGTCTACGTCCAGGTTCGTTCACGTTTCTGTAATAACTCATTACAACGAAGTTAATCACCTGTAATACATTTCGTCATTTAATCAAAAATAATTCTCATTATACTTTTTTGTGCCATTTTGAGATCTCATACTTACACAGTTCCTCCTGCAGTGACCTCAGATCTGCATGTTTATATTGTGATGCCATAATGTGAGAGTCACAGGATCCAGATGCTAACAGAGTCAATATCATCAGAAACACATCTGGATTTCATAAATAAGAGACCTTTACCCGCTCTGAAACTGATGTATGTAAATATGTACAGGCTCTCTCAAAAGTGAGTCCCCACCCCCCACATGTGACGACACTGAAGAAATGACCCTTTGCACCAGTGTAAAGTAGTGAGCGTACAGCTTGTAAAACAGTGTAAATCTGTTATACAAGCTGCACGCTCACTACTTTACACTGTTATACAAGCTGTACGCTCACTACTTTACACTGTTATACAAGCTGCACGCTCACTACTTTACGCTGTTATACAAGCTGCACGCTCACTACTTTACGCTGTTATACAAGCTGCACGCTCACTACTTTACACTGTTATACAAGCTGCACGCTCACTACTTTCCACTGTTATACAAGCTGCACGCTCACTACTTTACACTGTTATACAAGCTGCACGCTCACTACTTTACGCTGTTATACAAGCTGTACGCTCACTACTTTACGCTGTTATACAAGCTGCACGCTCACTACTTTACGCTGTTATACAAGCTGCACGCTCACTACTTTACACTGTTATACAAGCTGTACGCTCACTACTTTACGCTGTTATACAAGCTGTACGCTCACTACTTTACGCTGTTATACAAGCTGCACGCTCACTACTTTACACTGTTATACAAGCTGTACGCTCACTACTTTACGCTGTTATACAAGCTGCACGCTCACTACTTTACGCTGTTATACAAGCTGCACGCTCACTACTTTACGCTGTTATACAAGCTGCACGCTCACTACTTTACGCTGTTATACAAGCTGTACGCTCACTACTTTACGCTGTTATACAAGCTGTACGCTCACTACTTTACGCTGTTATACAAGCTGTACGCTCACTACTTTACACTGTTATACAAGCTGTACTCTCACTACTTTACGCTGTTATACAAGCTGCACGCTCACTACTTTACGCTGTTATACAAGCTGCACGCTCACTACTTTACGCTGTTATACAAGCTGCACGCTCACTACTTTACGCTGTTATACAAGCTGTACGCTCACTACTTTACGCTGTTATACAAGCTGTACGCTCACTACTTTACGCTGTTATACAAGCTGCACGCTCACTACTTTACGCTGTTATACAAGCTGTACGCTCACTACTTTACGCTGTTATACAAGCTGTACGCTCACTACTTTACGCTGTTATACAAGCTGCACGCTCACTACTTTACGCTGTTATACAAGCTGCACGCTCACTACTTTACGCTGTTATACAAGCTGTACGCTCACTACTTTACGCTGTTATACAAGCTGTACGCTCACTACTTTACACTGTTATACAAGCTGTACTCTCACTACTTTACGCTGTTATACAAGCTGCACGCTCACTACTTTACGCTGTTATACAAGCTGCACGCTCACTACTTTACGCTGTTATACAAGCTGCACGCTCACTACTTTATACTGTTATACAAGCTGCACGCTCACTACTTTACACTGGGGCAAAGGGTCATTTCTTCAGTGTCTTCACATGAAAAAATAGAATCAGATGTTTACACATGTGGGGGGGGGGTTCTCCTGTGAGATACTGCATTAATCTCATAGATCTTTATCTAATAATCACGAGGATGGGTTCATATGAAAACAGATAATTAAAGGAAACTCTTTTCAGTGTAGTCATTGGTCTGTCCTCCGGACGCTATGACGCGTCCTCCTGTCCTCCTGTCGTCCTCTCTCAGGTGTGTCAGCACTATAACAAAGGCTCCGGTCCTCACGGCGGCTGCACCTTCCAGGAGAACTGCACCAAAGTTCACTTGTGTCAGCACTTTGTTCAGGGCGACTGCATGTTCGGACTTAAGTGTAACCGGCAGCACGCCATCGAGCAACATAGCCGCCGCTTGCTTCTGAAGAAAGGACTGAGAGAGGACATCATCCAGGAGCTGCCCTTCATCTACAGGAACATCCACCAGCTGACGGCTGCTGCCGCCTCCACAGGTAACAGTAACACACCTGGTCACACCTGCTGCACAGGTGATCCGTGCACGCCGCTGACTCTGCACGTCTTTGTGTTTCCGTCAGAGAAAGATTCTTTTTGTAAACCTGCCGATCAGAGCGACAACAGCAACGATATCTGTCTGCACTTCATCAGAAACAGCTGCAAGTTCCACAGTGAGTTCAGCCTCCTCTTCCTCACCTGATGTTTCCTCTTCTTCTTTTTATTCAGCAGGTGAACAACATCTTCTCCACATCTGTTGAGTCTGGGAGGTTAGGGGGTTATCAAATAGGAAATGTACCTACAAACAAAAGCAAGAAGAGATTCAGATAAATATTTTGTAAAGGTCTTTTTTGTTTTAGATATGGAAAGAATATGTGGCTTATCATTGGCAGCTCCAAGCTTGGCTTTTTTAAAAACTTTAAACTTGTTCAGATAAGGTTTGATTAAAATAATCATGAACATTATGTAGCAAACCTAGATTTGTTATGAATTTTAATAAATTTATGAGAATTAATACTCCATTATGAATTTTAATATTCATAAAATCAAATTTTATTCCTCGTTTCAGGGCACCACCGGAGTTGTTTTAATCCTAGAGTTTTCGGACCTCTAGGTAGTTTTTAATAATTATACAATTATTACTAGTGATCAGTTCAATTATCTTAAATCAGTCAGTCAGTCTCATATCTAAAGGGTCAATTCTCTTGGCAGGGACGTGGAAATAGGCAACACACACAGTTCTTGATTATATTACAATGAGCCTGGAGGTTCGATTGTGGGAAGCATTTGACTCATACGGCAAAGAATAACTAATGAAAGTAAGCTAACGCTATGAGTTTAGGAGTTAAAAGGAAATCTCTGACCACAGAACGTGTGTTAAGTCTTACTGCTTGTCGACAGCCTGCTTTTGGCCTGTTGCACGGGTCCCACGCTAGCTGCCCGATCCTGGCTTTTTGCTAGGGATTCTCCGGGGTTCTCCGTGTCTGGCAATTCGGCTGTTTGCAGGTTTCCTTGGTTGTAGCTGGCGAGACCACGTGGCTTGGTCTGACCTCGGTGAAGTTGGCTCAACGAAAAAGGCTTAAAAATGGAACTTGGTCGTTCCTGAATTAGTCCAGTGTAACTTAACGGACTCATAACTTTAACAAACAAAAGAAAGAAAGAAAATAAAACAAACTGAAGGCAGATCGATGTCGCGGCACTTCAGGTGTGTAGCTTCAAGCGAACAAAGGGCTGGTTGCACTGGCCGAACTCTTAGGGCGTTGCCTGGCGAGGCACGCCGGACGCGTGCCGAAGCGTCCAGAGAGCAGAGCAGAGCGAGCCGAGAAGAGAGCGAGCGACGTCGTGTGTCGCTCTTTTGTTGCCTGGGGCGTGGTTCCCCAGGGGGCGTTTCAGGTTTCCCGAGGGACCGACTTTCTAAACTTAATGTCTAAAGGAAAATAAATGTATTTGCGCATATTATAATCAAATATTTTCCACAATCGAACCTCAGTGGTCAAACGGTTGTACCGTTCTAAGTTAAGCATTTGGTAACAGGAAACAATTGTCACATTATTGGTCAGGATATTTATACATTAACGGCATTTCCGATGAGGGCATGTAATACTTATTTCGTCCACTTGGGGGAGCTCAGGTTACATGAGGAAAGCTTAGATTAACCCAAGATCATCTCTCCTTAGGAACTGGGAATATTGTTGATTCATCCTTAAATTCAAGCTGGCGATTAAGAGTATAGTAAAACATTCCTTTATCATCATTTCTAAAGGAATTTTGTATGAAAGTATTATGAACAAGCATTGATTACATTAGATGAAGGAGTGTCTTGCTGAAAATAAAAACACTGCAAAAGTAACTTATTTAGATTCTTTCCAGCACTAATATCAACAACAGATAGCAACAACATGTTAACATAACTACTCAAATAGAGGCAAACGTAATCAGGTAACTAAAGATTTAATTAAATGCTCTGAGTCTTTGGAGACAGCAGTCTTTGGTTATTTAAAGTTTGGCTTTCTGGGTTATGTCACAACTTGGGTGAGACAGGGGTTTTCTTTTGATGGGGTAATGAAACACCGAGCAAAGTCAGTTGCCACGATTACGTGTGTGTGTGGGGGGGGGGCAGTTTTGATAGGCTGTTCAGGGAAATGCTAATCGCTGGTTTGTGTCCCTTTGTCAGTTTAACAGTCAGGCCCCATAGCTCCAATTTATTCAATATAAAATGCACAAATCCACACCGTTGTTCACTACAATTAATTTCTGTCATCTTCAGTGAATCCAAAGAATTTTCCCAGCCTAATGCAGATTGAGGGTAAATACAAACAGCAATAACGATCTGTTCCAAAGTTTCTTGGTACGTGGGCGAGGACAAAATAAATGTGCCAGCGCTTCGCTTGAGTTTTTTTTCTGTTTTTGCGGGTAACGGGTCGTTTGGTAAAACCTGTGAAGCATTTAAAAAGAGATCTCTTTAACTTTGTTGGTTCAAAAAACTTTTTCCCAACACATCTCTCCGTAACAGGAGCAGTACGAAAAAGCAGCAGGTGTTCTGCTAAGGAATTGTTGAATTGAAAAAACGTTGACGAACTGCCTTATTCTTAGTTTTAGTTTGCAGTGAAAAATAAATTGTCCCAACAACAGTGTCGTCATCAAATCCATTAAAGTCTTTAGGAAGTGAAATGATGGCCAAATGAAGACGATGGAGACTCAGGGAGACCACAGTGATGAATTAACTCACTGTAGTTAAAAGCTGGATGAATAATTTATTTAGAATAAAAATGTTTTTGTCATACCGCTGTAGAAAGAAAATGTAAAACAATATATGTGTTGTTCCAAATATAAAACCTATGAGGAGAGAAAAAATGAAAGACCAAGCCAGTAGCATTTGTTTGTGAAATGCTGAGAGAAGAGAGGGAGTGGCTTCCACTGAAGGTGGAATTTAAAGTATTTAAAGTCTAGAAAACTAAGTTCACCTTTAATTAACACAGTAGTTTCTCAGATAATTCTGCTTGATCTACATGTAAAGACAGTTCCGCGTATTTTCATCTTGATAGTAGATCTTCGTCTTCATCAGACTGATTCTGTCCTGTGATCAGCTGTGGCTTCACCTCAGCTCGTCCTGCAGTTCCCTTTAAAACCCACTAGAGAGCAGCAACGTTCACACTCTTCTTCTCTCAGAGTCTCTTCAGGAACAATCCCATCATTCACTTAAATGAATAATAATTATCGCTTTCAGTCATTTCTTTACTCTAACAAACATTGTGATATTTGTTCCTACATAGAGGAATTTTTTTACACATTATTTTTCCTTCTGCGTGGTTAAACTGCTTAGACAGATTCTCCCTCTAAAATCATTATTTGTTCTTTTAAATGTGTAACAACAATAAATTCTCTCCAATATCCATCATGAAATGTTTGGATTCTTTTTTCATTTAAAAATATCTTTTGCACACAGAGCTCACTCACACACATTTTATTTTCAACTCATTTTGGTAGTTTTATGTAATTTTTTATATATAAATATAGTGTTTATATCATCAGCTTTAATTTGTTGGATAATGTTTTACTGGTTCATACACTCGTTACCGGATGATCTGTGACGTTGTTGGCATGCAGGCTGAATAAAATTATTTTTTAATAGAAGCCTTTTCCAGAGGTGGAGTGTAACGATTTACACTCACGTTACTGTAATTGAGTAGCTTTTTTGTGTACTTGTACTTTTTGAAGTGGTTTTTTAAATCTTTAATTTACTTTTTGTTAAGTATGTTTTGTTTAAAGTTTTGTCCTTCGCTACATTTTCAATCACATCGGTTACGGAGTTTAAAACTTTGGCTTCAAGTACAAGAGAGCAGCGGCTTTATCATGATGCAGAGTCAAGTGTGAAAAAATCTGTATTAAGTTGGGGCTGATGCAAACTGAACATTTCCTGCTGCTGCAGCTTCACATTAAAAGCATCTAACTGGCGAAACACAGGTTGACCTTTATTTTGAAGTAGTCAAGAAATGCAATCTGTCTAAGTGAGATCAGCGCTGAAATGTTGCAGTGAGTAAAGCAGCAGCAGACTCAGCGAGCTGTCAGATAAAGAGCTGCACGCCTCCACCTGCTCAGCCAGGTGACCAGCTCCTTCAGACTCACAGTCAGATCAGGACTTAAAATACCAATAACTGCCCGACAGTAGTTTGTTTAGCTGCTCCAGACTCTGAGCCCTGTGGCATTAAAAGGCATCTGCTGTTACCGTAGTAACTACAGGTGTCTCATGCACAATAACGGGCAGCTGCATAATCGCGTCAAAGCCAGGTAATTAATGCAGAATTACATTTACAATATTCTAACCATCAGTCCTCGGCTGCGCTCTGAGAGCGTTTTCTCGTTCAGTTGGCTCGTGTAGATTTGTCCTGATGGATTTAGGCCAACCATGTTTTTAAGGAGTGTGTTCACACTGATAGAAGCTAGTAAAAACGTTGAAAATATTGAACAGTAAAATGGCAATTACAAATGTTTTTGACAGTCTGGCCCCTGCAGTGTCTGCTTAGAACAAATGTAGCTGAGGACCCCTGATGCAGAGGTCAGTAAAATAATAGCCTTCTTCCATTGGTGGTTAAAAATAAGTTTTCATAGTTTGGTTGGATTCTTTGCTCCAAATAGCCAAAAAACATTGGTGTATGACAATACTGGTTAGCATTAGCTACCTGCTGGTACAGTGAGGAAAATAAGTATTTGAACACCCTGCTATTTTGCAAGTTCTCCCACTTAGAAATCATGGAGGGGTCTGAAATTGTCATCGCAGGTGCATGTCCACTGTGAGAGACAATCTAAAACAAAAAAAAAAAATCCAGAAATCACAATGTATGATTTTTTTTAAACTATTTATTTGTATGATACAGCTGCAAATAAGTATTTGAACACCTGAGAAAATCAATGCTAATATTTGGTACAGTAGCCTTTGTTTGGTCAAACGTTTCCTGTAGTTTTTCAGCAGGTTTGCACTGCAGGAGGGATTTTGGCCCACTCCTCCACACAGATCTTCTCTAGATCAGTCAGGTTTCTGGGCTGTCGCTGAGAAACACGGAGTTTGAGCTCCCTCCAAAGATTCTCTATTGGGTTTAGGTCTGGAGACTGGCTAGGCCACGCCAGAACCTTGAAATGCTTCTTACAGAGCCACTCCTTGGTTATCCTGGCTGTGTGCTTCGGGTCATTGTCATGTTGGAAGACCCGGCCTCGACCCATCTTCAATGCTCTAACTGAGGGAAGGAGGTTGTTCATACATGGCCCCGGTCATCCTCTCCTTAATACAGTGCAGTCGCCCTGTCCCATGTGCAGAAAAACACCCCCAAAGCATGATGCTACCACCCCCATGCTTCACAGTAGGGATGCTGTTCTTGGGATGGTACTCATCATTCTTCTTCCTCCAAACACGGTTAGTGGAATTATGACCAAAAAGTTCTATTTTGGTCTCATCTGACCACATGACTTTCTCCCATGACTCCTCTGGATCATCCAAATGGTCATTGGCAAACTGAAGACGGGCCTTGACATGTGCTGGTTTAAGCAGGGGAACCTTCCGTGCCATGCGTGATTTCAAACCATGACGTCTTAGTGTATTACCAACAGTAACCTTGGAAACGGTGGTCCCAGCTCTTTTCAGGTCATTGACCGCTCCTCCCGTGTAGTTCTGGGCTGATTTCTCACCTTTCTTAGGATCATTGAGACCCCACGAGGTGAGATCTTGCATGGAGCCCAGTCCGAGGGAGATTGACAGTCATGTTTAGCTTCTTCCATTTTCTAATGATTGCTCCAACAGTGGACCTTTTTTCACCAAGCTGCTTGGCAATTTCCCCGTAGCCCTTTCCAGCCTTGTGGAGGTGTACAATTTTGTCTCTAGTGTCTTTGGACAGCTCTTTGGTCTTGGCCATGTTAGTAGTTGGATTCTTACTGATTGTATGGGGTGGACAGGTGTCTTTATGCAGCTAACGACCTCAAACAGGTGCATCTAATTTAGGATAATAAATGGAGTGGAGGTGGACATTTTGAAGGCAGACTAACAGGTCTTTGAGAGTCAGAATTCTAGCTGATAGACAGGTGTTCAAATACTTATTTGCAGCTGTATCATACAAGTAAATAGTTAAAAAATCATACATTGTGATTTCTGGATTTTGTTTTTTAGATTGTCTCTCACAGTGGACATGCACCTACGATGACAATTTCAGACCCCTCCATGATTTCTAAGTGGGAGAACTTGCAAAATAGCAGGGTGTTCAAATACTTATTTTCCTCACTGTAACTAGTTATTTATTACACTAACGCTAACCGCCTGTTTGAATGTAAATAGGGACGTGACTTCATATACAGTCCAGTGCGTCCCGCCAGAGTCCGATCTGTTGCGCCACAGTTTCCTAATAAAGTGAAAACATTCTCAAACTTCTCATAACGTTAAACGTCATTGATTTGGCAAAGTATCTGTCACCTAAAATTGAAAGTGCCATATGGTTTTGTTCCCTTATCAAATCGCAAAAGACTGCAATTTAATTAACTAAGAATAGGTATAGATAAGATATTAAATCAGTACAAATAAGTTATTTCAGGAGTTAAAAAGTAACTTTTACTCTCTGAGTACATTTGAACTGAGCTACTTTTTACTTGCACTTAAGTAAAAGTTCATCAAAGTAATGGTACTTTTACTTAAGTAGAATATTTTTGTACTCTTTCCACCTCTGGGCTTTTCACATTTTAAGTTCTGGTGTTCTGTAGTTGAGGTTCTCGTCTCTCTGTGTAGATGAGTGCCGCCGTGTTCACTTCTGCCTGCCCTACAAGTGGGAGGTGTTTGATGGTGTCACCTGGACAGACCTGCAGAACATGGAGGACATTGAGAAAGATTTCTGTGACCCCTCTAAGACAAAGAGGTCAGACGTCACTTCGAACCTTTATCCAGGTATGAAGATCATCAGCTGTTGACTGAAACTTTTCTTTACTCTGATCTCTGCAGCTGTGGCGATCGGCCCGTTGACTTCCTGACCATGAGTCAGGCGTCGCACCCCGTTCGCCGCCTCTCCACGGTTTCCTCAGTTACGAAGCCGCCCCATTACATCCTGACCACTCAGTGGCTGTGGTACTACAAGGGGGACCACGGGAACTGGGTGGAGTACGGACAGCCGGTGAGTTGGACCGCTGGGGAATTCTATAAATGCATAGCGAGTTCAGGAGTGGTTCTACCTGCAGCTCCGGTGAGGGCTAACTGCAGAAGTCTAAGAACAAAGTGCAGAAGTCTGAGAACAAGGTGCAGAGGTCTGAGGACTAGTTGCAGAGGTCTGAGGACTAGGTGCAGAGGTCTGAGAACAAGGTGCAGAGGTCTGGGGACTGGTTGCAGAGGTCTGAGAACAAGGTGCAGAGGTCTGGGGACTAGTTGCAGAGGTCTGAGAACAAGGTGCAGAGGTCTGGGGACTAGTTGCAGAGGTCTGAGAACAAAGTGCAGAAGTCTGAGAACAAGGTGCAGAGGTCTGAGGACTAGTTGCAGAGGTCTGAGAACAAGGTGCAGAGGTCTGGGGACTAGTTGCAGAGGTCTGGGGACTAGTTGCAGAGGTCTGGGGACTAGTTGCAGAGGTCTGGGGACTAGTTGCAGAGGTCTGGGGACTAGTTGCAGAGGTCTGGGGACTAAGTGCAGAGGTCTGAGAACAAGGTGCAGAGGTCTGCGGACTAAGTGCAGAGGTCTGGGGACTAAGTGCAGAGGTCTGAGAACAAGGTCCAGAGGTCTGGGGACTAAGTGCAGAGGTCTAAGGACTAGTTGCAGAGGTCTGACTACTAAGTGCAGAGGTCTGGGGACTAGTTGCAGAGGTCTGAGAACAAGGTGCAGAGGTCTGACTACTAAGTGCAGAGGTCTGGGGACTAAGTGCAGAGGTCTGGGGACTAAGTGCAGAGGTCTGAGAACAAGGTGCAGAGGTCTGAGGACTAAGTGCAGAGGTCTGAGGACTAAGTGCAGAGGTCTGGGGACTAAGTGCAGAGGTCTGAGAACAAGGTGTAGAGGTCTGAGGACTAAGTGCAGAGGTCTGAGAACAAGGTGCAGAGGTCTTGGGACTAAGTGCAGAGGTCTGGGGACTAAGTGCAGAGGTCTGGGGACTAAGTGCAGAGGTCGGAGAACAAGGTGCAGAGGTCTGAGAACAAGGTGCAGACGTCTGGGGACTAAGTGCAGAGGTCTGAGAACAAGGTGCAGAGGTCTGGACTAAGTGCAGAGGTCTGAGAACAAGGTGCAGAGGTCTGGGGACTAGTGCAGAGGTCTGGGGACTAAGTGCAGAGGTCTGGGGACTAAGTGCAGAGGTCTGGGGACTAAGTGCAGAGGTCGGAGAACAAGGTGCAGAGGTCTGAGATCAAGGTGCAGAGGTCTGGGGACTAAGTGCAGAGGTCTGAGAACAAGGTGCAGAGGTCTGGGGACTAAGTGCAGAGGTCTGAGAACAAGGTGCAGAGGTCTGGGGACTAAGTGCAGAAGTCTGAGAACAAGGTGCAGAGGTCTGAGAACAAGGTGCAGAGGTCTGGGGACTAGTTGCAGAGGTCTGAGAACAAGGTGCAGAGGTCTGGGGACTAAGTGCAGAGGTCTGGGGACTAGTTGCAGAGGTCTGGGGACTAAGTGCAGAGGTCTGAGAACAAGGTGCAGAGGTCTGAGAACAAGGTGCAGAGGTCTGAGAACAAGGTGCAGAGGTCTGAGAACAAGGTGCAGAGGTCTGAGAACAAGGTGCAGAGGTCTGGGGACTAGTTGCAGAGGTCTGGGGACTAGGTGCAGAGGTCTGGGGACTAGGTGCAGAGGTCTGGGGACTAGGTGCAGAGGTCTGAGAACAAGGTGCAGAGGTCTGGGGACTAAGTGCAGAGGTCTGGGGACTAAGTGCAGAGGTCTGGGGACTAAGTGCAGAGGTCTGAGAACAAGGTGCAGAGGTCTGACTACTAAGTGCAGAGGTCTGACTACTAAGTGCAGAGGTCTGACTACTAAGTGCAGAGGTCTGACTACTAAGTGCAGAGGTCTGGGGACTAAGTGCAGAGGTCTGGGGACTAAGTGCAGAGGTCTGACAACAAGGTGCAGAGGTCTGAGGACTAAGTGCAGAGGTCTGAGGACTAAGTGCAGAGGTCTGAGGACTAAGTGCAGAGGTCTAAGGACTAGTTGCAGAGGTCTGAGAACAAGGTGCAGAGGTCTGACTACTAAGTGCAGAGGTCTGGGGACTAGTTGCAGAGGTCTGAGAACAAGGTCCAGAGGTCTGACTACTAAGTGCAGAGGTCTGGGGACTAAGTGCAGAGGTCTGGGGACTAGGTGCAGAGGTCTGAGAACAAGGTGCAGAGGTCTGAGAACAAGGTGCAGAGGTCTGACTACTAAGTGCAGAGGTCTGACTACTAAGTGCAGAGGTCTGGGGACTAAGTGCAGAGGTCTGGGGACTAGTTGCAGAGGTCTGACGACTAAGTGCAGAGGTCTGACAACAAGGTGCAGAGGTCTGCGGACTAAGTGCAGAGGTCTGAGGACTAAGTGCAGAGGTCTGGGGACTAAATGCAGAGTCTGAGATCAAGGTGCAGAGGTCTGGGGACTAAGTGCAGAGGTCTGAGAACAGGTGCAGAGGTCTGGGGACTAAGTGCAGAAGTCTGAGAACAAGGTGCAGAGGTCTGGGGACTAGTTGCAGAGGTCTGAGAACAAGGTGCAGAGGTCTGAGAACAAGGTGCAGAGGTCTGGGGACTAGGTGCAGAGGTCTGAGAACAGGGTGCAGAGGCCTGAGAACAAGGTGCAGAGGTCTGAGAACAAGGTGCAGAGGTCTGGGGACTAGGTGCAGAGGTCTGGGGACTAGGTGCAGAGGTCTGGGGACTAAGTGCAGAGGTCTGGGGACTAAGTGCAGAGGTCTAAGGACTAGTTGCAGAGGTCTGAGAACAAGGTGCAGAGGTCTGACTACTAAGTGCAGAGGTCTGGGGACTAGTTGCAGAGGTCTGAGAACAAGGTCCGAGGTCTGACTACTAAGTGCAGAGGTCTGGACTAAGTGCAGAGGTCTGGGGACTAAGTGCAGAGGTCTGGGGACTAAGTGCAGAGGTCTGAGGACTAAGTGCAGAGGTCTGGGGACTAAGTGCAGAGGTCTGGGACTAAGTGCAGAGGTCTGAGGACTAAGTGCAGAGGTCTGAGGACTAAGTGCCGAGGTCTGAGGACTAAGTGCAGAGGTCTGAGGACTAAGTGCAGAGGTCTGGGGACTAGTTGCAGAGGTCTGGGGACCAAGTGCAGAGGTCTGAGAACAAGGTGCAGAGGTCTGAGAACAAGGTGCAGAGGTCTGAGAACAAGGTGCAGAGGTCTGAGAACAAGGTGCAGAGGTCTGGGGACTAGTTGCAGAGGTCTGAGGACTAAGTGCCGAGGTCTGAGGACTAAGTGCAGAGGTCTGAGGACTAAGTGCAGAGTTCTGGGGACTAAGTGCAGAGGTCTGAGGACTAAGTGCAGAGGTCTGGGGACTAGTTGCAGAGGTCTGGGGACCAAGTGCAGAGGTCTGAGAACAAGGTGCAGAGGTCTGAGAACAAGGTGCAGAGGTCTGAGAACAAGGTGCAGAGGTCTGGGGACTAGTTGCAGAGGTCTGGGGACTAAGTGCAGAGGTCTGAGAACAAGGTGCAGAGGTCTGAGAACAAGGTGCAGAGGTCTGGGGACTAAGTGCAGAGGTCTGGGGACTAAGTGCAGAGGTCTGGGGACTAAGTGCAGAGGTCTGAGAACAAGGTGCAGAGGTCTGAGAACAAGGTGCAGAGGTCTGGGGACTAGGTGCAGAGGTCTGAGAACAGGGTGCAGAGGTCTGAGAACAAGGTGCAGAGGTCTGAGAACAAGGTGCAGAGGTCTGAGAACAAGGTGCAGAGGTCTGGGGACTAGTTCCAGAGGTCTGGGACTAGTTGCAGAGGTCTGGGGACTAAGTGCAGAAGTCTGAGAACAAGGTGCAGAGGTCTGGGGACTAGTTGCAGAGGTCTGAGAACAAGGTGCAGAGGTCTGGGGACTAGTTGCAGAGGTCTGGGGACTAAGTGCAGAGGTCTGGGGACTAGGTGCAGAGGTCTGGGGACTAAGTGCAGAGGTCTGAGAACAAGGTGCAGAGGTCTGGGGACTAAGTGCAGAAGTCTGAGAACAAGGTGCAGAGGTCTGAGAACAAGGTGCAGAGGTCTGGGGACTAGTTGCAGAGGTCTGAGAACAAGGTGCAGAGGTCTGACTACTAAGTGCAGAGGTCTGACTACTAAGTGCAGAGGTCTGGGGACTAAGTGCAGAGGTCTGGGGACTAAGTGCAGAGGTCTGGGGACTAAGTGCAGAGGTCTGACGACTAAGTGCAGAGGTCTGACAACAAGGTGCAGAGGTCTGAGGACTAAGTGCAGAGGTCTGAGGACTAAGTGCAGAGGTCTGGGGACTAAGTGCAGAGGTCTGAGATCAAGGTGCAGAGGTCTGGGGACTAAGTGCAGAGGTCTGAGAACAGGGTGCAGAGGTCTGGGGACTAAGTGCAGAAGTCTGAGAACAAGGTGCAGAGGTCTGGGGACTAGTTGCAGAGGTCTGAGAACAAGGTGCAGAGGTCTGGGGACTAAGTGCAGAGGTCTGGGGACTAGTTGCAGAGGTCTGGGGACTAAGTGCAGAGGTCTGAGAACAAGGTGCAGAGGTCTGAGAACAAGGTGCAGAGGTCTGGGGACTAGGTGCAGAGGTCTGAGAACAGGGTGCAGAGGCCTGAGAACAAGGTGCAGAGGTCTGAGAACAAGGTGCAGAGGTCTGGGGACTAGGTGCAGAGGTCTGGGGACTAGGTGCAGAGGTCTGGGGACTAGGTGCAGAGGTCTGGGGACTAAGTGCAGAGGTCTGGGGACTAGTTGCAGAGGTCTGGGGACTAAGTGCAGAGGTCTGAGAACAAGGTGCAGAGGTCTGACTACTAAGTGCAGAGGTCTGAGGACTAAGTGCAGAGGTCTGACTACTAAGTGCAGAGGTCTGACGACTAAGTGCAGAGGTCTGACGACTAAGTGCAGAGGTCTGACAACAAGGTGCAGAGGTCTGAGGACTAAGTGCAGAGGTCTGAGGACTAAGTGCAGAGGTCTGAGGACTAAGTGCAGAGGTCTAAGGACTAGTTGCAGAGGTCTGAGAACAAGGTGCAGAGGTCTGACTACTAAGTGCAGAGGTCTGGGGACTAGTTGCAGAGGTCTGAGAACAAGGTCCAGAGGTCTGACTACTAAGTGCAGAGGTCTGGGGACTAAGTGCAGAGGTCTGGGGACCAAGTGCA